ATTGTTTCAAAATTCGATGGAATAATTAAAAAAGTTGGAATAATTTTGCAATGTCTAGCAGTAAGATATCTTATAAGCTATTTCCTACGATTCGGTTAACCGCCATTACTATTTTGTCGAGAAATATAAGATGTCTCAGTCAGAAGTATGTTACGCAGAAAAGTTGTGGTAAACGCCCTATCACCGTGTTATTGAAGCAAAGTTGGTCATAACTTCACCTGAGTAGAACCATCAACGTTCCGTAAGCTAGCTGGATAGGTTTTGTCACATATACAATCCGACGACAACTTAGAATGTTGGTGACATGCAGGAGGTTTGAAGTCAACAACCTTAACCACTCAATTCCGGACGTCCCTTATTAATCATTCAATCGAGTTCTTCTTTCATTTATGTCTTAGAGTGATATATCATGCTAATACTTGGGTAAAATACGTTCATTGCAGAAATTTATAAGAATGCAGAAATTTCTATATGAAAAGGTCTAATCTGAATTAGAGAATTTGAGAAACTGCATGCTCTATTACCCCTTTTCCTGATTTTTGTAAAATATAGTCAAACCTGTAAACAAAGGGAATCCAAAGGAGAGGTCAAACAAGGTCCTCTATACACAAGTGGTCTTTATTTAAGAAGTTATATTGTTCTATTTATTCAATGCAAGACGAAGAAGTACTATGATACAGGATATTCTTTTTTGTGAGGTGGTTTTTAACACAGTTTCGAAGGTTAATTATACTTAAACAATGGAAAGCTATGTAAACATGTACTTAATAATATAATTGTTTACATTTTGTTAAATAAATTTTCTAAACTATCCGTATAAAAGGAATTTTTTGAAAATGCCTTTAAAGGAATATTATGCATCAAAAACGTTTAATTTTTTACATCATTAAAATGGGCAAAAATGATTTTTTTTTTATGTTAATTAATAAATAATGATAAAGAAAGTAGCAATAAATGTAAAATAATCTGTCATTTAAGTAGCAAAATGTAAACAAACTTGTCTTTTAACTTCCATAAAAAATACTAGATCACTGTAACTGTACAAGCTGCCAAAAGCAGCAGATGAAAAAAATGATGCGGGTATTGGCCAATGAGAAAACATTTTGGAAACTATAAAAAGTTACACAAGCATAAAGAATGTACGGGGCCCAACGCTAAGATCTTATTTATTTGTAGTTGTACAAACAATCAAAAGACATTCGTTGATAACAATTTTTTTTTTTGAGAATCGACCATAAGATTATGAAAGCAGCATGATTTTACGTTTTTAGATTTCACATATTTCATAATAAAAAAAAACTTAATTTCCTTCAACGTCATCTGTTTTGAATTATTACACAACAATTCTTTCTTAAACAAGCATAAGAAAGCATGGGGCCCAACGCTAAGATCTTATATCTATTTGCAGTTGTACAAACAATCAAAGTAACGCATATCTTAATGCTTTGACGTAATTAACAAAAATTAAACGTGTTCAAAGTACATATGAATCACCAACCCGAGAAATAATGTATTAAACAGTATTTCTATGTTGTTGTTGATGTTGTTGTTGTTGTTTATTTTGTTGTTTTTTTTTTTAATTATTTCTTTTTCTTGAAATTAAAATATATCCAATTGAATTCACATTAAGAAACTAGGAAACATTCTGCAACATTTGTATCTTTATGAAACTAAATATGTTTACGTGAGGAGAACACCATACTCAAAGAACTGGAAAAGTTTGCAATAATGTTATTTTATTCGACACCTTGCAATATTTATACCAGAAGTAAAATAGTTGTTCAAATTACTACCTGAAATTACTCGTAATTCTAATTGATGAAAAGAAACACATTTCATAAATCTAAGTGCAAAAAGGAGTTAATCATATCAATGACATTTTTGATAAATCATAATACTTATTACCCATTAACGCATTACTTCATCAGCTTTTAGTGATAAAGCTTCCTGTTACAAGTTCAAATTGCTATGAAACGATAAAAATGCTTAAATACTATTCAAAATTGGCACAAATCTTGACTGGACCATAGCCTATTGGAACTCGATCGTAAATTTCCTGTTTACATGGCAACGACGGGACATCTCATCACTATTTTTGCGTTAATTTTTTCCATCAAAACTGATTTCAAAGTGTTGCAACTTCACAATTGATTAGGATAGAGTCAAAAGCTCTCCCTCGTTGGTTACAGGTAACCATACAGGCAACCATATAGTGCACTTGAGGCGAGTTTTAGCAGGTCATTTTTAGTCTCTGAAAAGTTCAACATTTTCTTGGAGATGACGGAGGTCTGCCGATTCCCATTAAACCCCCCGTACAGAAGGGGCACATCCGCCCTCTGGCACCCCTTTGATGGATCTATTTCATAGGGGATGGCACCGAAAAAAGTGATCACTTTCTAATACCAATTCTAAAACGAAAACAAGTGTTGTGGGTTTAAATAGGGTTTTTATATCACTATTTGGTGCATCAAATGGGGGGAGGCGTGAAAAGACGTCTATATGAAGTAATGGGTTAAAAGTTATCAGAAATGATAAAAATATTAAAATTACCCAAACTCTAGTTTTTTTTCATGTTAAACATGGCCTTACACATACTTTGAAGAAAAAATGTAGTTTGCGGCATTTTGTTCATTAACCCATTTCTTCATGGGCATTTTGAGGAAAATGGCTTTTTCATTGAAATCATCCCGTTACAAGTTCAAAATGCAATGAAACAATAAATAATTATTCAATACTTCATACATTCAATACAATTATTAAAAAGCACAAAATAGTTACAACTTGGAATATCTTCCTATATGATATTTTCCTTAGATTAATACCTTTTTGTATAAATATATCAATTAAGGGAACCTGGGGCCAGGTGGTTGAGGTGTCTGCCTCTCAACCCTGGAATCATGGGTCGATCCCTACTCACCATCAATGATTCCTTATATGACAACAGTACTTGTTGGATTCGAAAGTGAAATATAAGTTGCTATAACTTGTTTCCCAATTGAGCTAAAATAAATATGTTTAAATTAAACTTATATTGATTATGTGAAGAAGAAAGTATTTGTTCAATGTGTTTACATCTAGGTTTCTTTTGAGCGTTCTTTAGGGACTTCGGGTTGTTTATAGGTCAAATAGTTCTAAATATAATAGTGACATTCTCTAGACTGGCGTTTTCACTTCAATGTGATCGAGATGGTTTCACTGACAGATGAAATTTTATATCATATATTCCCCTGCTACTGAAAGGTTAATGGCACACAAACGAAAAAAAGTGTTATTTTATACTGCAAATTAGAAGCTAATTATACTTAGTCTGATGGTATAAGTAATTGGAAATTATTCTCACTCGTATTTACTGTTGTGAAGTCAGATGAGTTGTTAGTTAACAAGGGTAATCACTTCATGGAAATATGACAATGTATAACAATTATGTATATTGATGCTAGGATCTGTCATGAGTCTAGACAGTAATTATCTTCATCGACCGTCTGTAAAAAAAAACAATTATTTTCTCTTTTCACCTTTTATATGCTCTCTTTTTTCTCTTGAACAAAGGGTTGAAATTTTGATCTTGTCATATATCAGGAGTACCTATGCACTTCTTTATACGCTAAAAGCAAACAGTGTATATGTTTCATATTTCATACTTTGCTTGAACTAATACGTTTTGGGAACAGAAAGAACATTGCTTAAATTCAATAAAGACAAACAGTTTTGTTATCATGATATTTTAATATCATAAATTTATCAAGCACAATATTGTGTACGACACGTCTTCACAAATCACAATCTTAAAATTCTAATGGACGGAAACATATAAAAAAGTATCTATGTTTAACGCAGTTTTAAATTAATTTGGAACGGTCAACTATTAAGGTTTTTTCTTGCCGAAGCTCTCGAGGAACCACCACTTTGAACAGTTTTCTATAAATGCATTCGGTGTAATTTCTTAAATATTATGTTATCTAAATACACAAGAAAACAAGTAAAAATAGAATTGAGATCTTTCTGTAAAAGTTCACAGACGCATATAATCACACAAATATGAGATCATTACTTATAAGTATTTGTACAAAAACAAGCACAAGTGTGTCCATATTTACAACTAAGGAATGTTTAAAACAATACAAATGCCAATTCATTGAATGAACGGGGTGTCCATGTCTACTAGACCCTTACCGCTGTGGGTTCAAATCCCGACAAAATTTGCATTCATCCATGTGATGGTAGGCTATCGTGCTAGCTAAGGAAAGACGGTGGTTCTACTCAGATGCCTTTATGTCTGAAATAATGAACGGATGGGGCACCATCAGTAATGCTTGAAAGTCGCCATATTACCTTTAGAATGTAGGTGCATCATAAACCCCAACCAAAATAAAATGTATTTAATACAAGAACAAGGCGTATTTGTTAAAGGGAGACACAGGCAAAATTTTCATTTCTTAGTTTTGAATTTTTTCATCCCTAATTCTGTAAATGCCCTCAAAATGAATATATTAGACAGTCAAAGGAACAAAACTTTCCTCCATATAAAGAATAAAATGGTGGTTTCCTAACCTGACCCGCGTGGGTCAGGTTAGAGCGCTAGGACTTCACAATAGTTGTAACAGTGAACTCTGGAAACGTTAAAGAACATGTCAAATGAATGATTTTGACTTGTTTCAATCATACAATATCCACAATATCTGTTAATGTAACTTCAATGATTTGTTCCAGTCACCTGACTTGTTTTAAAATTATTCGGTGATTCTATGGGCGTCTAAATTTTGTTCAACATATAAAGATATATTTATGTGTCAAATCCAAAATATATAGAATTTAAAGAGAAATTCATGCTGAAACTTTTAGAAATGTAATTTTAGCGCGAGTTGAGTACAAAAGATCATTTTAATATTTTTGTCATTATTTTGCCTGAAGACAATCGGACTATGTGAATATTTACAAAAATGAATGTATAAAAATACAAGTAAATAAAAAATACCTTTTTTTACATTTTCCTGAACAATATCACATTTATCACATTACTAGCGAAGCATTTATGGCCACATTGATTTAATAGCACTGTCAGACTATAAACTTTGCAAGTCATACAAAAACAAGCGTCTGCCGCTTTTTTTTAAAGAATCGAGCTTTCGAAACGCCGCAAAGGGAAAGCTTCCTCAGGATATTTGTCGTTGTTGTCCTTGTCAAGTATCTCCTCCATGGATATGTTTACCCTGCGCGTTGGATAAAAGACATCACGCACGTTATGTGTGATAGTTCTGTTTGTTGATTTCCTTTTGAAAATGTCCCTCAAAGTTTTCCGGAATTTTCCACTGAAAACAGAGTAAATCAGAACGTTTGTGGACACAGATAAATAATAAAGCAGCTGGGAAACGGACTGCATCACGATTTCAATAGACAACGAAGTATTCACGTTCTTCTCAACAAAAGCCAAAACCATCAGCCTTAGTCTAACAACGTGATGTGGTATATTCAGTAGGAAGAAACTAAACGTGACCGCTAAAAGCATAGTGGTTACTTTCATCAACGGGCTTTTGACATTGGTGCAGGACGACGTACTTCTTCGGCGGCGGCGTTCGCAAGATGCAATTGTTGTTGCAGCTATTGCCGACATCAGTAAGGCCATAATGATTGCCGGAACAATGAGTGTAAGCACCGCGTCTATGTAAACTAGTATCTGAATGAAATCGTAATATTTTCTGAGTGGAATGCAAGCTCCTCCAATTGTCCAAAATGGAAAGTTGTACGTCAAGAGAATCACCGCTAGAAGAATCAGCATAGATACCTTTGCATTCCTAGTGTTGCACATATTTTGTACAAGGAACGGTCGGCAGATCCTTATGTAGTTTTCAGCAGTTACGAAAACAACAAGCCATATTGAAAAACACCCGAAGACGTATGTTAAGAAAATCAACAGTTGACACATAGGAGGGATGTTTCCAAGGCGGAGGTCATAATAAGACGAGGCCCATATCGTAAGTAACGTTGCGAGAAAACCATTATCTGAGATACTTCTGGCCGCCAAAAACAAGCTTGAAGAGTTTTCCCTCAACGACTTTTGTAGGAAGACAATGGCAGAGATGGTGTTCCCAATCAGGCCACCAACACAAATGACAGGTACTGCATACGCTTCGACTACTGCTAGGGTATCTTCAGGACCGGCAAGTGTATTTGAATACACTGTTGTCATGTTGGTTTGATTCTGTTCAAAAGACGAGCTTTGAATGTATGATGATGAACTCATTTTTTCCGGACTATGTTTTAAATCTTCTAAAACACCTGAAGCAACAAGAAAAGCAGTTTAGTTTCAATTGATTCGAAATGTGATATTTTATTATTATTATTATTATTTAAATTACGAAAAGTTTATTGTATTTTGTTTTAACTAAATGTGTCGTATATCCAGATGATATAAAAGTAGCAAAAAGATGAAAGTACATGTGTTTTAAAATAACTTGAATTATGACCTTCGTGTTATAACAGTTACATTACCTATTGCACAATGGTTAATTCGTAACCAATTAAAACAACTTATTAAATGAGAATATCTAATGAAAATAAAATGTAATATATGATTTAAAATGATAAAATAATCAGCATTCCTTTACTTACTTTACAAGTTTCAACACCCTGATGTGATGAATGGAAATTCCAAGACAATGGTGATTTTCTGAATCGAAATGGAAATTCCAAGACAATGATGGTGGTCAAGTGTTGCTAAATTGTAAATGAGGTATCTTAACGTGCGTTGGCTTCCTTTATACAAAAACTGTTACCATGTGATGTCATCACCCTGTAGCAACCAATGCCAGTAGATAGTCCATCATTATGAATATGTATTGGATGGAAATCGATTTCATGCTGGTGTCCGTTGGTAAATAGCGCTAAATTCCAACATTGTCTATTCACATAATATTATTTATCAGTCATGTAGATTGATTCACTATAGGTGTCAGTCCTAAAGTATGTGACGTGTTCCGCATTAGGGCCGTGATTGGAACTTTTAGCATATTTTTACAAAGGCAAAGAATGATAATTTAAACAAGCGGTGGTAATTCTTTTTAAATAAAGCGCGTAAAGCAATATAAATTATGTTTTGAACTTAAAAAAATACTTCCAAAATGCTTGTATGAAAGAAAAATGGTATTTTATTGGCATGAAAAGCATATGACGAATGCACAAAATGATTGTTAATGGTTGTAGTCCTACTTTAATATCAGCTGGCACATTTTGTGTTCATGTGTTTGACAACTCTTTCAAGACTCGACCACATTACCATGAAAACAATATAATTTTGCTAATTATATTAAATGAAAATAATTCATCAGATATAACTTTATCTGTACCCTTTAAAAACTTTGCACGGTAAAAAATCATGATTTAAACAAAAAAGGTGAAAAAGAACGGGGGGTCATCATCCGCCCTTGAAGTTATCTCTCCTTGAATGTGAGGATGGTTCTTTGTAAAAATTAAATAAACATGTTTTGACTTCACACACTTTACCTGAAATTGGGAACACAGCTTCTTGTACATAGTTTATTCATTCTTTTATTCAAATTACACATACAGTTAGAATTTTATATATTTTAATAAATTTCTGTGATGAAAATATTTTACTTAAGGATGAGCTTATAGTATATCTTTAACTTGAGATTAATGATAGCACGAAATTAGTAACGGTGACTTTGCACGTTTCCGTTTCTTTACATTTGTTTAGAAGCTTAAAATGTTTGACAACTCGCTATGAGCCGTTAATAGTGTAAATTTTGTTAATTTACTCTATCACAAATATCGTATGAATATATTGAACCATCCTAGAAACTGTACGTGTCGGAAAGATGTTTTCCGGCAACCCGAATGTTCTGAAATAAAATGACTTTGATTTACAAAAAAAAAAGTTTTTGAACAAAAATACAGCTACCTCAAGAAATAATGAAATATACTAATAAGTTTGGTTGTATAAAACAAGAACTGCCTTATAATTGCAGGGGAAAGTTAATATTTGAATAGCGAGAAAGTAAGGACCACTGAAAATAATGATATAGTATACGTTTTATCTGGAATAGAGGTATCTCCTCATTTCTTACTTTTTTAGTTAATATTAAACCGGTTTGTCATGTTATTCTAAGCTAAAAACTACAAAAACACTCAACTCTAATGTTCATTATTTAGTGCGTGTTCGTGTGCGGTCATTATAAACAAGTGTTTTTCTACAGGAAAATGACTATTTTTTATAGTACTTAAGTGCAGAGTATGATATTCAGCTTGGTTACTCAGATATCTTACAGTTACGAAAGTATAAATTTTCTACAGTTAACGAAAGCTTAGATTTTCTACATAAATGGAAGCTTGGATTTCCTAAAACTGATGGAAGCTTAGATTGCCTTTAGTAAATCAAAACCAAGATTGCCTACAGTTAATGGAAACTTAGATTGCCTATAGTTAATGAAACTCGTACGAATCATGTGATCATTTATTTTGGCAGCACACATTTTATTTTTCTCCATGATGAACTATAATGGTCTCATTGGCATCCCATGCATCAAAATACTATCATCATTAAAATCGACTTCCATACATATTCAGTATCATTCAGTGAATAAGTGAATTCAAAATATATAGATCACTTTTGGTTGATAGTAACATTTAAGGACATGAATGGTGACAAGTCGAGGGTCCGTGATCTCAGTGCCGGAAACGGCGGATGGACCCTCGTTAAGCCTAGAATACATACACACGCACGCACGCACACACACACACACACAACACACTCACACACACTAGGTATTTAAACACTATAAATAGATACCGAAAATGGGCGCGAATTCCACTTAATCCTGTGTAATAATAAAATAGACAAGATGATATATTACCTATATTTTAGAACACGTTTTGATGAAATAATTACATAAGCCAAGACAACTAGACATGGAAAATAAGAAACGAACATTTATAATAATGTAAATTGGGTAAAACAATGATAGCATGGTAATCAAAATAACATTGTTTAGAAATAAGTTACCTCTTTTTACCATGCCCGAGTGTGTTATACGAATATTATCTTATTGATTATTCTTCAGTATGATATAAAATAATAATTCACAGCTGTATATCAGTTGTTAAATTATTTTATCCTCTTCTTCCTATAATCATCATTACTGACAAAGGTAATAATGGTGACAACGATATATGTGATGAAATTATCTCATAAGTTCGTCAACTTCTTGTATGTGACTTTACGGTAACTTTACTGATCTGCTAAGAAATTTATGAATTCGTATTTTTTCCGATACCTTTTTTTTTGGTATTTGAGATACCTAATATCATTCATCAAAGTTGTTATGATATGGTAAATTAATTCTAGTCTACTCATTAGAAAATGGCAAAAGGAAATAGATTTGGAGATTTATTATCTAAAATTATGATGATCTGCATTGCATATGTTCAAAGAGCTTCTGCCTACATTGTACTGATAACTAACCACATTTATTGGTGGTAGATTAAACATAGTTTATTGTACACGATACAGGCATTAAAGGATTTGGTCCGAGAGCTGAGCTCCTTATAGATTTACATTGCATAAAATACGGTACGACTACGACAGTTTACGTGACTAGCCAAAAATATATCTGATTTCACATCCTTTACTTTTTAGTATCATTATTGTGATTATCCCGTCCGTACACTGCCTTGCAACCTGTCCTATTTTTGTTTTGGGTTCTCCAGGGTTTCTTGCCGCTGGTTTTTGTTGCCATGTCGTTTGGGGGTTGCGTTCATTGAATGCCGCCTTTCCTTGTTGATCTTGTTTATCATATATAATATTTGATAGTGGTCTATGCACAGTCCCCATTTGGGACTATATGCAGTAAAAGTCTGGTAGAATCTGACAAAAGTTCAACTACCTTATAATGGGGAAAAGTTAGCAAACCTCTCCAAACAGTGCCGAATGTAGACAATATAAGGATCTTGGGCACAAAGAGCAAAAAAAATCAAAGACATATATTCTATTTATTCAGTATTTTCATAACATATTACCATGGTAATAAAAGAAAACTTAATAAATTAGATAAATTAGTATAATAATAAATTCAATAAATAAGTAAATAAATAATAACGTTATCAATTATTTAAAGTGTCAAATCATTAATATTTTATATAATTGATGTTATAAGACACACTCATTCCATTTTTTAAAGCCTTGACACAATGATGTATTTCATAGCATGTATATTTTGTTATATGTCTTTGTTTACATCTGAACCATCATAATACTTAAGGTTGCTACAGACTGAAAGATTCCATTTCAAAATGCTACACAACCTTGCAAAAACAAATGACACCAGGTAATTTTGATATTCACTGAGAAGACAAATGAAAATGTCTCCCTAAAAATCTATAAGATATATAAAGAAAAATAACTTATACCGTAACACTTTATCATTTGTTATCCTGAATATGATATAAACAAGAGCTGTCACAGGAGACAGCAAAGCTCGACTAATAAAATACTGGACGCAGTAAGGAGGACAAAACTATGAAAGAAAAATCCATTATGTATAATTATGTATTAAGTTATAGAAGAAAAAAAACATTTGTTAACATTAATTCCAAGATCAAGGGGAATAATTCTAGAAATAGTCATGCTAGAGTTATGGACCTTGTCACACAACATTTGTGTAATGATAAGAAATATATATTTGAAGTTTGAAGTAGATACCTTAAAAAGAAAAGAAGTTATTATATTTCTTAAAGAAAATCCTAAGTTCAAAGACAGATAAATCTGTAAATATTGCTTCAAGAGTTATGAACATTGTCACATAAAATGTAATTGATGATAAGGAATAAGTATTAGAAGTTTGAGGTAGATACCTTTAAAAATAAAAAAGTTATAATAAAAAATAACATTTTTCTAGTAAAAAAATCTAAGTTTATGGAGAGATAATTCTTGCAATATTGGTGCTAGAGTTATGAACCTTGTCACATAAGATGGGGATGATGATAGCGTAAATATATTTGAAGTATGAGGTTGATCCCTTAAGAAATAAAGAAGAAACAGTAAGAAATAGTATTTTTTTAGAAAAATTCTAAGTTCAAGGGGAGATAAATCTGAAAATATTGGTGCTAGAGTTATGAACCTTGTCACATAAGATGGGGATGATGATAAGGTACATATATTTGAAGTATGAGGTTGATCCCTTAAGAAATAAAGAAGTAACAGTCAAAAATAGTATTTTTTAAGGAAAATTCTAAGTTCAAGGGGAGATAAATCTGAAAATATTGGTGCTAGAGTTATGAACCTTGTCACATAAGATGTGGTTGATGATAAGGAACATATATTTGAAGTTTGAAGTTGATACCTTAAGAAATGACAAAGTTATAGTGAAAAATATTTTACTGCACCAAAACTTTAATCTAAAATCTGGACGCGGACGCAGACGCGGACGCCGACGCCGGGGCGAGTAGGACAGCTCTCCATATACTTCGTATAGTCGAGCTAAAAATCGTATATACATGTAGTTCTTAAAGAGTACATCATCTTTTTTCAAGAATTTGATCAATGTCTTTAATAGCACTTGAAGTTCTTAAAAGAGCTTCTCTCACTGAATTAAAACCTTCTAAACCAGAGCATCTCGATTCATTAGACGACCATGCATTCTTTGCCGGTTTAGAATATTGGCCAATAGGATTAATTCTTTCATTTTTTGGCCTGTTAAACGAACCTATCAAATTTGAAGAAACATTCACATGTGAAGATACACTTCCAGTTGGTCTAAATTTGTCAGATGGCGGTGAATGGATTTGAACTGTCCGGTCATTGGCTTGTCCACTCACCTTTGACCTCGATGTGTCTGAATTACGTAATATACTCGGCCTAGACTGGTTATCTGTTGTATTGTAAGGTTTAAAAGCACCAGACTGTGAATCTGCTCCTATCTTTTTCAGCACAGAATTATCAACGATATCTGGTTATCAGGAGTTAAGGAAAATATTTGAGCCAAGTTATTTCAAAATCCCTCAATGTATGACAAAGTTACTGTCCGGACATGAATGAAGTTGGGGCACATAGACGGCCGGACAGACGGTGCGATTAAGTTATGCCTCCCATGGGGGGGGGGGGATAAAAATTACTAATATATCATACCAGTGCAGATTGAAGGTTTGTACTTGTTCTAAGAGTTTTTTTAGGCAGGAGGGGTTGGCTTGGCAGTATTGTCGACTCCTTCACCACCATCGAACGAAGAACAGGTCCAGGAAGAGTCGGCATGAAAAGACGTCCGCGATGAGACTACAACAGTGGACCAGTAAGGACGCTGTAAAAATCTCGGACATATGTCGGCACTGAGTATAAACAATCTTAAACATATAAACTGGCTCATTTACATATAAATTTAATACATACCAGCACTGGGGCAAAATTTAAACAAAATAGAGTGATTTTATTGGCAGACAAACTATGGCGAACTGTGAATATACATATAAAAACTTCTTAAAATAAGTCAAAATTCATTTAGATTCGTTACCTGTACTTTTTGGCATATGAATAAGTTCAAACTAGCTTTGACATTTCAGTAACCTGTATTCTTTTTATCTGGTTAAAAATAATACAATGCAAATGTTAGTTGGTCATCTATTCTTGAAATAATGTCAAAGTTTATATGAAAATGGATGACATATATCGAAATTGATGACGAAATAATATTAAAGGTCACAAAATAAGAAATAACCTAGTAACTTTAAAAATAGTTTAAAATGTTTTTACTTCATATGTTTATAAATTGTGTATATATATACATATTTTTGGTTGGGTTTTACATCGCTTCAACACAGTATAGGTAACACAGTATAAGTAATACGGCGGCGATTTAATTAACTAATTATCTAATTAATTAATTCATTCATTCATTAGTTGGCCAACTAGACGACCCAATATAAAATCTAGAATAGAAATGTATTTGATTCAAATAATAATATTTAATGTTATAAAGGATACAATTAAAACATTGAATCTTCTGTAGCTCTCTTTCAACAGACCTGAATAAAATTACAAAAGAATAATCATGAGCACAAAGTTTTTGTTTTGTTTTGTTGGGTTAAACATCACACTGACATGACAATATTCCCGCTTTACTGGTGGAGAAAGACCTCAGGTGATCCTCTGTGCATTATTTTCAGGCAAAAACGGGTACCTGAGTAGAAACACTGACATTCTGTAAGCTAGCCGGATAGCTGCCTCACATGAAAAAATCCAAAGTCCCTGTTGGAATCCGAGCCTACAGCGTTCAGAGGCAAGTGGTTTGAAGTCAAAAACCTTAGCACTGCCACAGAGGCCCCTTAAATAAAGGTGGTACAAAACTAAACCAATATATCAAATATATCGGTAGAGATAAACAAGAGGGCCATGATGGCCCTGAGGTCACTCACCTGTATAAAGGCACCCTGAGCGGGGCCAGTTTAAACCCCAGGGCTTTTATTTGAACAAACTTGGAAAACAACCATTAGAAGATGTTTCACGAATTTAAGTTTTAACTACACACATATAATGAACAAGAAGCACCGCAATGCGACGAAAACCAGGTTTTCAACCACCAAATTTTGATGTGACTGCAATCAATAGGTCAAAGTACACTGAAGTTATTGAGTAGAAGCTGAAAATTCTATTGTAAGCAAATGACCTTGAACTTGCTCCCAGATTTCTAAGAAGCAATCCAAAGCTGCCACTCAGCAAGTTTATTGTCAAAAGGTCAAAGCAAACTCAAGTTATAACATGAAAACTAAATACATTAACCTTGATCACAGACACCTAGGTAGCAATCCCAAGCTGCCTCTTGATATAAGCTACCCATTCATCAAGTTTGGTGTCAAAAGGCCAAAGTAAACTAAAGTTATTTAGTGGAAACTGAATTTCTATTTTTAATAACAGTGACCTTGACCTAAATCACAGACACCTGGATAGCAATCCCAAGCTGCCTCTTGATATAAGCTATCCATACACCAAGTTTGGTGTCAGTAGGCCAAAGCAAACTCAAGTTATTGAGCAGAAACTTAATTTCTATTTTTGGTAACCGTGACCTTGACCTTGATAACAGACACCTGGGTAGCAATCCCAAGCTGCCTCTTGATATAAGCTATCCATACACCAAGTAAGGTGTCAATAGGCCAAAGCAAACTCAAGTTATAGAGCGGAAACTAAATTTCTATTTTTAGTAACAGTGACCTTGACCTTGATCACAGACACCTGGATAGTAATCCCATACTGCCTCTTGATATAAGCTATCCATACACCAAGTTTGGTGTCAATAGGCCAAAGCAATCTCCAGTTATTGAGCTGAAACTGAATTTTTATTTTTAGTAACAGTGACCTTGACCTTGATCACAGACACCTGGATAGCAATCCCAAGCTGCTTCTTGATATAAGCTATCCATACACCAAGTTTGGTGTCAATAGGCCAAAGCAAACTCAAGTTATTGAGCAGAAACTTAATTTCTATTTTTAGTAACAGTGACCTTGACCTTGATCACAGACACCTGGGTAGCAATCCCAAGCTGCCTCTTGATATAAGCTATCCATACACCAAGTTTGGTGTCAATAGGCCAAAGCAAACTCAAGTTATTGAGCGGAAACTGAATTTCTATTTTTAGTAACCTTGACCTTGATCACAGACACCTGGGTAGCAATCCCAAGCTGCCTCTTGATATAAGCTATCCATACACCAAGTTTGGTGTCAATAAGTCAAAGCAAATTCAAGTTATTGAGCGGAAACTGAATTTCTATTTTTAGGAACAGTGACCTTGACCTTGATCACAGACACCTGGGTAGCAATCCCAAGCTGCCTCTTGATATAAGCTATCCATACACCAAGTTTGGTGTCAATAGGCCAAAGCAAACTAAAGTTATTGAGCGGAAACCAAAAGTTGACGCCCGCCTGCCCGCCGACTTCGGCATTACAATAACCCGGTTTTCGTTGAAAACCTGGTTAATAACAACTGAATTTCTATTTTTAGTAACAGTGACCTTGACCTTGATCACAGACACCTGGGTAGCAATCCCAAGCTGCCTCTTGATATAAGCTATCCATACACCAAGTTTGGTGTCAATAGGCCAAAGCAAACTCAAGTTATTGAGCGCAAACCAAAAGTTGACGCCCGCCTGCCCGCCGACTTCGGCATTACAATAACCCGGTTTTCGTTGAAAACCTGGTTAATAACAACAATCTACCGCTTTTATTTGAACAAATTTGGTAGACACCCATAAGATGTTTCATGCTAAACATCTAAGCTCTAGCTTATTGGTTTTTTTTAAAAGAATATATTTTTTAGTTTTTACTATACACATATAGTTAAAACCAATGACACCCCTGGGGCGGGGCCAATTTTGACTCCAGGGCTTTTATTTGAACAAACTTTGTAGACAATAACTAGAAGATGTTTCATGCTTAATATCTAAACTCTTGCTATTTGGGTTTTTTCAAAGAAGATTTTTAAGTTTTTGCTAAACAAATATAAGGAAAATCAATAACACCCAGTGTGGGGCCAATTTTGACCCCAGGGCTTTTATTTGAACAAACTTGGTAGACACTCACAAGAAGATGTTTCATGTCTAATATCTAAACTCCAGCTATTTTGTTTTTTTCAAAGAAGATTTTTTAAGCTTTTGCTATATATATATAAAAGGAAAATCAATGACCCCCAGGGCGGAGCCAATTTTGACCCCAGGGCTTTTATTTGAACAAACTTGGTAAACACTCACAAGAAGATGTTTCATGTCTAATATCTAAACTCTAGCTATTTGGGTTTTTTCAAAGAATATTTTTTAAGTTTTTGCTATACACATATAAGGAAAATCAATGACCCCCGGGGCGGGGCCAATTTTGACCCCCGGGCTTTTATTTGAACAAACTTTGTAGACACCCATTAGAACATGTTTCATGCTAAAGATCTTAGCTCAAGCTCTTTAAAATCTTTAAAAGAAGATATTTTAAGTTTTTACTATAATATTATGCATAAAGGGAAAATCAATGACCCCCCTGGGGCGGGGTCAATTTTGACCCCAAGGCTTTTATTTGAAAAAACTTGGTAGACACCCATTAGAACATGTTTCATGCTAAATATCTAAGCTCTAGCTCTTAGGATTTTTAAAAGAAGATATTTAAAGTTTTTTCTTTCGGTTGCCATCGCAACCAGAGTTCTGCATGGAATTAAATTCTTTGAACAATTTTTAAAGGTGACCACCAAAGGAACATTCCTGTGAAGTTTGGATGGAATTGGCTTAGTGGTTTATGAGAAGATGTCATTTAAAGTAAAAGTTTACGGACGGACGACAGACGAACGACAGACGGACGACGTACAGACGCCGAAGTAAAGCGATCACAAAAGCTCACCCTGTCACTTTGTGACAGGTGAGCTAAAAATACAGGTACAAATTAACTAACTTTTCTCCGAACTTATAAATAATACTTACATATTGTAATTGCTGGCAGACTTGGCCTTGTAAAATTGTTGTCTCTGAGATGGAGAGCTATTGACCCATTCTGCCCATTCATTTGCTATATCAACATATCTGGAAAAAGGACAATACGTTAAAATCATTCATCATAATTCTATAACTGCATCATATATATATATATATACTGGTGTCTAATAATCTCCGTGTTACTGTTATTTCAAGGTATTTGGCATAAACAGCCTCAAGTGCCCCATAGACTTTATACATGTTTGTCAGGAGTTTTACTTTCACTTTCTTATTGTATTTTCATCAATTTGTTCCATATACAACTTAGAAAACTTATTATTTTATTCAAATGAACAGCAAAATAAATTATTTCACCATTTTACTTTTAGTACCGTTTTATAAAGCAGTTGGTAAACAATCAATAAAATGTTTGAAAAATGCCATAGAGAAAATCCCTACAAACAGACAATGCAAGGTATAGATGTACTAAACAATAGTAAGGTAACTCTTGTTTTTTTGCTTTGGAAACTGTTAAAATGTATTTCAGGTAAAAAACTTTACTCGCTTGGCAGCAGATAGGTGTTTGCAGCCATGTTGTGTACATGATTGCCAATTATAAACATTAAATGAAATAAATTATGATTGAATATAAACATGTCTATCATAATATTTTCCAGAACTTTAATCTTTATTCTTCTAACTTTTGCTGTGTTTGTTAAACAATAAACTACAACAAAAATATGAGGCGCAGGTGTAACTAAACTTAACTGATCAGTTTAGTGGAACCCCATTGTATCGTGCTTTTCATTGTATTGATCTATTTACAAATCTTTAGATTTTTTGCAAAATACGTCAGCTACTGATTGTTAACATTCTCAATACAACAGTGTCATAAAAATCTTTCGCATTTATTTTTGTGCATTAAAATGATCAAAATCATGTTTCCAGTACTGTAAGACGTTGAAGATGATAAATAGACTTATATATAGTGTGCTTATTAAAAGTACATTTGCTGTCTGTTAAAAGTTCCTAAATTTATGCTGACACTTTAAAACAGACATCAATGTTTCTAATTTACTGAAATATCTAACATAAATATGAGTACGGCTTCCCAAACTTTGGCTAACTGAGCGATAATTCTCACAATGCATCGATATAATGGTGTGACCTTATTCATCAACTTGTTTGACATGTCTGTGAATATCCGTATGTTCCAAAGCTAACAAGAGCTGTCCGTAAGACAGCGCGCTCGACTTTTTTATTGCTTGCCAATAAAAAAAGTTTTTGCAGTAAAAGGCAATACAAGAATCTCTGTATTTTTAAAGTGAACAATGGCCATGAGCATTAAGATATTTAGTGAAGAATTATTTTATTATGACATAATTTATGGTAAAGTGAACAAGTGGATAGGAATGAATTTTTTTAGATTTTTTAAGTTTTTTAGTGCTTGCCTATAATACAAAACATTGACAGTTAAGGGCCATAATTCAAATAAAATCTTTGACAGAATTACCTTCTCCTGGACATGTTTGGGAATCATGATTGTAAACAAGTATTCCAACTTTCAAATTAATATCTCAAACAGTTCAGTCAAAAAGTGGACTGGTACTAAAAACTTAACCAAGATTCTAAGTCGATAAAAGGCCTTAATTTTTAAAACAAATCCTTGACAGAGTTACCTTCTCTTGCGTACAGATGGGGGTAATGATGTGAAATAGCATTAAAAGTTTCAAAGCAATATCTCAAAGGGTTAAGGCAATAAGTGGATTTTACCCATATTCAATGTATTTTCTAAGTCAAAAAGGGGCATAATTCTGTCAAAAACCTTGACAGAGTTATGTCCTCTTGTCTGTTGATGAAGGTCGTGATGGTAAACAAGTATGGTCAGTTTCAAAGCAATACCTCCAATGGTTTTGAAATAAAGTGAGGTGGTACAAAAAACTTAACCAAGCTCAATACACTTTCTAAGTCAAAAAAGGGCCATAATTCTGTCAAAAACCTTGACAGAGTTATGTACTCTTGTCTGTAGATGGAGGTTATGATGGTGAACAAGTATGGTAAGTTTCAAAGCCATACTTGTAATACTTCTGAAATAAAGTGGGGTGGTACGAAAAACTTAACCAAGGTGTGACGCCAACGCCGACGCCGACGCCGACGCCGGGGCGAGTAGGATAGCTCCCCTTTTCATAGAAAAATCGAGCTAAAAACTATATATCAGTGATGTTTGTCATGTAAATATTATGGCAATAAGATCAAAATAAATATTCAAGGAGATTTGAATTTTCTAAAAGCAGTTGTGATTTATGGGTAAATAGATCGACTCAACGGGGTTCCAGGCTACAAGATACAAGAAAAAAAGAAAAAGTTCTCAATAATGGATGCCAGGTTGAAATACATGATGTGATTTTTAAAAGTACATGTACTTTATCTTGATTCAAATACCTGATTCACTGATGAATACAGTACATTTCTTTTACTGTTTACTTTAGAAACCACAGAATTGCACTTTTAATAGTTATATACTATGCTCAAATTTGATATTAGAAAAATATTGATAATTGCTACACAGTCTCTTTTTAAATATAAAATAACTAGAAATGTGTCCATAGGACACGGGTGCCCCCACCGCGCCACTGTTCTGTCAATCTTTTTACTAAGTCAAGGGAATTAACTCTACAAATACTGGATAAATCCACAAGCGAAACCCCAGGTGCAAATCTAAATATGCTGAGCAACCTGCCCAATGACTATGTCAAATCCTTTTTTGAGTAACTTGCGACACAAGTTGAAAATTGCAAAAAAATTTTAAGTGAAGGGCAATAACTCTAAAAATGCTAAATAAATCCAGACGAAAATACCTGGTGCACAACTGCACATGCTGATCAATATTCCTGTAAAGTTACATGACTCTAAGTCAAATACTTTTTGAGTTACGTGCGACACATGTTGAAAATTGCAAAATTTTACTAAGTCAAGGGCAATATCTCTGAAAATACTAAAAAATATCCAGACGAAAATACCCAGGTGCACAACTAGGCATGCTGATCAACATTCCTGTAAAGTTTCATGACCCTAGGTCAAATACTTTTTTAGTTACGTGCGACACAAAAGAGAATAATGGACGGACAGAAAGGACAGACAGACGGACAAGGGTAAATCTAAATCCAAAGACCCGGAATATTGAACCCATTGAACCCAAAGCAGTGAGAGGCAATTGGTTTGAAGTTAATGATCTCAACAACTCTGCAGCAAAACATACCCTTTTAGATGACAATATTGTGAACAACAAAAGAGTATTTGAGCACTCATATCATCATAATAATTGTTATTGAACACGGCAAAATGTATTGTTTTGCCGATGAGAACGATATTGAACAAGCAATTATCATAGTATTGCAAGCAATCCATAAGTCCCCTACCGGTAAGAGCCCAAGCAACATTCTGAAGGGCCATTGGCCATTCACTTATGTTTCTATTTTAAGTGATCACAGTGAACAGTTTTTATGTACAGAAAGACAGACAGACTGAAGGACATTCTAAAGTTATTTTTTTAAACATCCCTGTTATCAAAATATAACATTTTTAAAGCAAAATTTTTAAAAAGGGAGATAACGATGTCATACATGATGTGAGTGTAACAAAGAACAATTAGTAATGAAGGTATGAATATTGAATGTTTTTTTTGAATTTGAAGTAAATGAAAGTTAAAAGAACGAATAGGAAAAATAAAAAGTTTAAGGAGGAGATAATTCTGGAAATATGGAAGCTAGATTTATAAACCTTGTCATATTATTGTCATATTATTATGATGTGGGAGTTTGAAGAAAATCCTATCATAATTGAAGAAAATAACCAATTTCTCAAAAAAAGGTCAAGTTCAAAAGGGTCATAATTCTGGAAATAGTCTTGTTAGAGTATTGAACACTCACAAATGTTGAGTGATAATAAGAAACATTTATATGAAGTTTGAAGTAGATACGTTCAGAAAAAAAGAAGTTGTTAAAAAAACAATGTTTTTTTCATGAAAATTTTAAGTTCCAGGGAGATAATTCTGATAAATTTTGTGCTAGGGTTGTAAATTTTGTCACATATGATGTGGTTGATGACTAGCAACTTATATTTAAAGATTGAAGAAAATACCTTAAGAAATAAAGAACTTATAGTGAAAAAACTGAAAAACTAGAATCAGAAATCTTGAAATTCAGTCTATTTGTTGCCATAACAACCAGAATTTTCAAAACAGGAAGATAAGAAAAGAATGTGCATTATTTCCATACTGCCATCTACCAATATGTCAAGTTTCATAAAAATATTTTCAGTAATTTTTGCTTATCACTGGATCCAGGTTATGTGTAAAATTTGCCATATTTTCAGTCTATTTGTTGCCATAGCAACCAGAATTTTCAGCATAGGAAAAAAAGAAAAAGACGTGCATAATCTCCATACTGCCATCTATCCATATATCAAGTTTCATAAAAATATTTTCAGTACTTTTTGCGGTATCGCGGGATCCAGGTTATGTGTAAAATTTGCCATATTTTCAGTCTATTTGTTGCCATAGCAACCAGAATTTTCAACATAGAAGGAAAAGAAAAAGACGTGCATAATCTCCATACTGCCATCTATCCATTTATCACGTTTCATTAAAATATTTTCAGTACTTTTTGCGTTATTGCGGGATCCAGTTTTGTGGACGGACGGACTGACGGACGGACGGACTGACGGACGGACAGACGGACGGAGGGTAAACCTAAAGTCCCCTCCGGTAAACCGGTAGGGGACTAATTACATTTTACAGTAATCATGTAGTGTACTCGATGGACAGTAGATATGAGCTGCATCATGACAAAACCAACATAATGGGTTTGCGACCAGCATGGATCCAAACCAGCCTGCGCATCAGCGCAGTCTGATCATGATCCATGCTGTTCGCTAACAGTTTCTCTACATGTATTAGGGTTGGTAAGTGAATAGCATGGATCCTGATCAGACTGCGCTGATGCTCAGGCTGGTCTGGATCCATGCTGGTCGCAAACCCATTATGTTGGTTTTGTCATGGCGTGGCTCTTATAATCAAGTCTCCATATGTTTTCAATGTGGCTAAACAT